TCCAGAAGGCGGGTGGGGGGTTGGGGAGAGTAAAATATACGCAGAAATAACAATAGAAGACTAGAAACAAAATGGATAGATTACTACGTGAATACAGAAAGATTAAGACCTCGCAGGAGATAAGCCAAGATTCATATCAAAATGCAAACCTCGCTGGTTAAGAAGGAGCTGGGGTTGGCACTGGAGTTTCTCTTGAGGCTCCAGGGTGTCCCTGGAGCTTGGGAGTGCAGCCTCCCATGTAGGGGCCACAGGAGTCCCGCTGTTAGGTTTCCAGAGGCCCTGTAAGGCTTAGACAAGCTCACCTATCCTTTGGAGGGAGGCCCTGGAAACTCGTCACGCATTCCTTTCTTCCCTTTTGTGTCTTTCCCCTAGCTCCCTATCTCTTGACTTTCATCTCCCGACACTTCCTCCTTCCCTAAATTGGCTGTTGACTGGGACACTGTCTCCATAGCTTCTCCTAGCCCTGATGCTCCCAAAGATAATTACGTAGGTCCCCTGGCTTTAGGGTTTTTGCATGTATAACAAGTGCGGGGACCAGTTACAAAGGATTAAGAAGCTCTCTCGCCATCCTTGCTCCTGGAAACAACCTTCAGCTGGCTTCTCAGAGTGGGGGAAGTCCTTGCCTTGGTCTTCACCCTTCAATGCTGAATGAAGATGGAATCAAGTATGGCAGTAGACGTGCAGAATGTCCACTCAGGTAGAAACTAGTGCTCATGAGGGAAACAGCGTGTAAAAAACAAAAAACAACAAGACCAACAACAACAAAAACAGTTATGGTCAAACATACCCGAGTTTAAAGCCCAGCTCTGCCTGCTTGTGGCTGTGGCCACTGGCGCCCCATCACTTTGTCCCCAATTCTGCAGCTATGAAATGAGGATAACAACCTGACTGCCTCAAAGGATTTTTGCCAAAATTAAATAAGATAGAGGACACAAATCGTTTAGGGAGTATCAAGTATAATAAATGCCCATCTTCTTCCCTCTCTTGCTCCCAGCCTCCTTCTGTTCCTGTAAGTCTAGTGGCTGTGGCTGAGACTTCTGGGTCAGTGGCGCAGTAACCGAGAATTTCTAGGTCAACAAGAGCTGTATGGGAAGCAGAACAGCCGCTTTGTTGGTATTTTTGTGCAGGGTGGTGAGGGGAAGGTCTTTCCAAACCATCCAAATTACTTCCCAAGACTTTTTGCGTTGCCCAAGCCAGAAACCGGGGAGCCATTCTTGACTTCTCCTGGTCTCTCACCAACAACCCCCACCCCCGCCGCCGCCACTTATCTGTATTTCCAAGTTCTGTTACTTCTCCTTAAGCTATTCTAAATCCTAGGGTTCTCTCCCTCCCCCTGCATTATTTTAAGTCACCGTTGTCTTGTCCCTGGAAGTCCGCAATGCCTCCCTGACCAGCCCTGCAGAATTGTCCCTCTTCTTAATTATCCAGCAGATAGAGCTCTTCCTACATCCAAGTCTTAGCCAGTCACTGCCCTGGATAAGATCACTTCTTGATTGCTCAACTTCTCTCAAGATAAAGTCTGAACTCCTTAGTGTGCCTTGGTCCCTAAATTTGGACTCCTGCCGACGTTTTCAGCTTTCTCTCTCACCAACCCTGCTATGCTGGACTATCTCCAGGGCATGGACAAGGCACAGTGACTGAGAGGTTCCTGGATGCGGTGGGACTTTAGTGCTAAGAGCAGGCCAGCCCTGGGCAAACCAGGATGGCTGTCACCCTAGTTTTGCCTTGGGTCTCCATGTACTCTGTTCCTTTCTCACAAATGCTTCCACTCATCTGTCCCGCCTCCTACTGACTCCTCAGTACCACTCATTCTCTATTTCTGCTTGGCCATCCCCTGTGCAGCTCCAGATGGAGGGGTTTATCTGTCCCCTCCCAAAGCTGTCACAGCTGGTGCTCCTTGCAGCCCCTGCTCTATTTTAATGGCTGCTTTGTCTCCCCCGTGGTTATAAACCCATTAAAGGCAGGAAGTTTTTTTCCCCCTACCTATATTCCCAGAGCCTAGCAGAGAGTCTGGCACAAGGTTGGAGTTCGATAGTTTTCTTAAATTAAGGAATAGCAATATAAATTTATCTTTCTCAATTATCATCTAATTCATATCACTATGGGGAAATGTTATGGATCGAATGCTTGTGTCCCCATGCAAATTCATATGTTGAACCCCTAGAATGACTGTATGGAGATGAGGCCATGAAGAAGGAAGGAAGGTTAAATTAGGCCATAAGGGTGGCGTCCTGATCTGATAGGATTGGTGTTCTTATAAGAAGACACACCAGGGAAAACCTCTCCCACACACACAGGTACCAAGGAGAGGCCATGTGAGCACACAAAGAAAAGGTGACCCCAAAGGAAAGGTCTCACCAGATGCTAACCCGCCAACACCTTGATCTCAGACTTCCAGCCTCCAGAGCTGTGAGAAAATAAATGTCTATTGTTTAAGCCACCCAGCCTGTGGTGTGACCAATGATGACTAAGGGTCACACAAGGAACCATCCTGAGGCAAACAGTCTATTCTAAAATGGCCCCAATTATATTTCCCATCCCACATGTTCTTCCAGAACCTTGCAACTCTCCCAAATCCCTGCCTGCTCTTCCTGAAACTCGTCACCAGAGCATAGTGGAGTGACACTATGAGACTTGCGAGGTTAGGACAAAAGAGGTGATTCAGAGTCCACCCGTCTCTCTCTTGGGATGCTCATCCTTAGAACCCAGTCCCCATGCTACAAGAACTCCAGCCCAAATGAAGAGGAACAGGGACCCCTGCCCTCAACCCTGGCTGAACGCCCAGTGAAAGACTCGCATGCGCTTCCCAGCCATGTCCCTACACCATCTTGGAATTGGATCTTCCAGCCCTCTATTGGAAGGACCCAGAGGCTGTTGTGTGGATCAGAGATAAGCTCTTCCTGAGGCCCCTCCCAAACTGTAGATTTATGAGGAGAATAACAGACTATTGTTGTAAGCAACCAAGTTTGGGGCTGGTTTGTTTTATAGGAATAGATAACCCAAATACAGCTTGAGACAAGATGTAGCCACTTGTACTAGATAAGCCCTTCTTTCTCTTGATAGGTCCTTGCCCCAGAAGATTCTGGTTTATTTCAGAAGAGACAGGGACGTACTCCAGACTGGTCCATTCAAATATTGGCCCACAATGTGACTGGATCCTGACATAATCCAGGGGGCAAAGCAGGGCAGAATCCTGGAGCTGTAGGCCACCCCAGGTGCACAGCAGCCCTTGGCTCCTGAGGGCTGACCATGAGGGCTCCACCTTCAGGAAGAGGAAATCTTAACTGATAGCCATCTGCTCTGCCCATGGGAAGAACACCAGGTCTCATCCTGGGTGTTTTGTTTTGTTTTTTTTTTTAATTCTCTGCCTCAGAGTCATGTGTTAGTATCACCTTGGGTGGTGCAAACTAATCAATTGTAGGTTGGTTCTGTTTTGTCCTACACCAATCATTTGGGCATCCAAACCACTGTACACTGTATCCTGGGCCATCCTTCCAGGCCACCATCTTGAACCATTCAAAAACAACTATGTATATGTATGTTACAGTATGGAATACAAGAACGTGAGTGTTCAACATTACATGATTGACAAACATTTGGTTTTCTATCATTCTGCTTTACTTAGGTAACTAAGTATCCTAGAATGGTTAACTTTTGGGACCTTGAAATGGTTACATGAGTAGGTGGTTTAGTTTAGAATGTATGACTAATATTTTTGCAGCCAGGTAAAATTTTCTGCTTTCCAATGACTTTTTGGAGCCCATTTACATTGCTTAAAAATCAATTATAATTCCCTCTTTGGACATTTTTACATTGCCCCCATTGTGCTGGTTATTCCTCACTGTCCCACTCATATAGTACCCTGCCCACTCACTCCTGGCCATGTTTCTCCCCAGTTGTCTTTGTTCTCTGACTTCTGGATGGGTCTGACCAAAGCCAAGTGCTGTTGGAGTGTGGAGGGGTGGGGAGAGAGAGGGCTTCTCCCTCTTCCTTCCCTGCCAGGCCTTGTTATCTACAGTGACTGTGTTCCTCCACCACAGAGCATACATCATGTTCGGCAGCCCCTCTCTGTGGCTACAGCTCTCACTGGGTTCTAGGAACAACAGGCCCTTTCCCTTCTGCCTCTTCACGCCACAGGGTAACAAAGACTTCCACTGTTGCTAGTTCCTAGGTGCTTCACCATCTCATCTTGATTCTCTTAACCCTCCCTACACTGTTGTTGTGGGCTGAATTGTGTTCCAGTCCCCCAACCCCCCACCCAGATTCCTATATGGAAGTCTTAACCCCCAGGACCTCAAAACAGTGACTGTCTTTGGAGATAGGGTCTTCAAAGAGGTAATTAAGATTAAATGAGGTCATATGGGTGGGCCCTAGTCTAATCTGACTTGTATCCTTATAATAAGATGAGATGAGGACACAGACCCCACCCAGAAAGAAGACCACTGAAGACATGGGGAGAAGGTGGCCACCCACCCTCCCAAGCCGAGGAGAGAGGCCTCGGAAGTAACCAACCCTGCTGACGCCTTAATCTTAGAGTTCCCAGCCGCCAGAGCTGTGAGAAAATAAATGCCTGTTGTTTAAAAGCCACTCATCTCTGGTATTTTTGTTATGGCTGCTGGAACAGATGAAGACCGTGGTACTTTGTGATGGCAGCTCTAGCCAACGAGACACCATGGTAAACAGCCCCGTCATTAAGCTGCTCAAGTAGCCTTGGGAGTGTGCTGTCTGCATCTTCTGGGACCCTGCCCCACACTCCCAATATTACCACTGTTGCTATCCTGTGTCCCTTTATCAACCCCATGGTATCTAGCCTCACATTTGTGTCTAAGTTTGTAACTATGTCAGCACTTATACCATGAATACCTTTGACTGAAATACTGTAGAACTCCCTTTCCCAAGTAGGTACCTAAGCTCAAAGTTTCTAAGAGAGGACCCAAGTAACATCCAACTCTCCAATGTGTAGAGCACCTTGTCACTTCTATCAAAATCCTTTCACATTCTTAAATTGACTTCGGATCTGGAGGCTGGCTGGGTGATGCCTGAAGCCCAGAGTGCCTTTGAAGATGTTGCATGAGGATTTTTGTGGCTGCTTTGGTGGCCGGGAGCCCTGCCCATTGATGAGACCAGGCAAGATGAGCGGGAACTTGGAGAGAAGCGCTGGGTTCTGCACTTAGGCATATCTAGGGAGGAAAAAGACATCATTCTGAGACAGCCACTGAAACAGCAGAGAGGAAGCTATATAACTAAACCCATTTTAATGATGCAAAATAGCTCTCTCACAGCATAGGGCTGGTGGGATTTATCGAGACTTCCCAACTTCACCACTCCTAACCCCCACGCCATCTTCACCTTGAGCTAAGAATCAGTCTGTTAGTCTCCAAAGCGCTCTCATGACCATAATTTCATTTGAACCTCGAGAAAATTCCACAAGGTAGGTAGGGAGGTATTAGCATCTCCGTTTTGCACATCAACAAAACCGAAGGACAGGCCGTTTACATGCCAGCCCAAGTTCACAGAGCAAAAAGGTGTCAGAGCCAGGTCTGGACACGTGAGGCTCCCAGGCCCAGTGAGCATTGGTAGAGTTCCCATATTTTACACTCACTACTAATCTGTGCATGCACACATTTGCTCTAAAAAGGCAAATGTCACAGGTTGACATTCTAACCAAAACTCACAGTGAGAAAGGATTTCTCCTGGACATCTGGCCGTGAGCAGGAAAGAGGAGAGGGAGAGATGGAGAGAACAAGAGAAAGAAAGAACACAGCTGAGCTTGCAGGGAGCACAAGCGATGGACTCTCATAAATTCCCTCTTACATTGGCCCCTACTGTGCAGACAGTCAGAAGGAGATGGGGCAGATATGCAGACCCTGTCTCCTTCCCTGAACACAATCCCGGTCCCACGACTCCATATTCAGCCAGCATGTCCCAGCCGTCAGATCCTTTGTTACATCCCTCTCATGCTCTGCCGGATATGTTCGCCACACACAGGGCTTCAGTTAATCTGGGGAAATCCTACTTGAGACTTTCACTGAATCAGAAACTGCTTCAGCCAATTGTTGCTGTCTCCTGTCCTCTGGTCCAGAGAACCTGCTCCCTTGTTATTCCACAAAGATGCCCCCCAGTCTTGCCTCACACCCTACACCAGCCTCACGTAGTCTATTCCTTCTCTAAATCTAACCCGTCCTTCAAGGTCCATCTTTCCAAGAAGCTTGAGTGTCTAGACCCTCAGGGATTTCTTTCTTTTTTTTTTTAATTTTTAAAAAGATTTTATTTGAGAGCGAGCAAGAGAGTGAGCGCGCACAAGCCAGGAGAGGGGCGGAGGGAGAGGGAGGACAGACCCCCGCCGAGCAGGGAGCCCGACGTGGGACTCGATCCCAGGACCCTAGGATCACGACCTCAGCTGAAGGCAGACGCTTAACCGACTGAGCCACCCAGGCGCCCCGACCCTCAGGGATTTCTGCCTCAGCTGGATTCCTGAAGCCATTATTACCAAGTCCTCTGACTTCGCATTGAACATAGGTTCTTGGACATTAGTATTTGCTCCTGACTGTAATTATTTGTCCCCTGGCAAGACTGCAAACGCCCTGAGAGCAAAGCTGGAATCTTATACTTCAGTGAATCTATGGGTGCCCGCCTATACATGTTTGTTGATGATTTTTCTGGGAAAAAGGAGGCTAAGCTGGGATTAAATGTAGCAAGTTGTTAGAACTGGAGAGGAAAAAGGGGAAGAAATGGGAGCAAATAATCTTCCCTCCTTTAAAGCTTCCAGTGTGGTTTGAAGATCAACGCACAGTAAGCCTTTTTGGTGTTATTCTAAGATCAACATAAGGTAAAAGAACAAATAGAGGTGTTCCTTTGTGCTATTTTAGTAACAATGAAAATAAAATAATACCTGTTGAATGAAGAACAGGCCTAGCTCTCTGGGATACAAGAATGGGCTAGTCACACCTCACCTGTAACAGTTTCGAATTAAATCCTATTACTCTGCAAAGCTGATTTATCACTGCATTTGAGGAACCCCTTTCCCCTAAGTCCCCCTGGGTGGTGGGGGGGAAGTTCACATGCTGAGGCAGGCTCCTCTCAAGCTCTCCTTTTTTTAGCCAAGGCAGGTTGCAGGGATTCACACCATACCCCCATTCCCCTTGGTAATTGTCACCGCCTATCCAGACTATTGGGTTTTTCTTCCCTCCAAGATCAGCTCTGGGAAGATGGTCTCCTTACATCCACCCTTTCTTTCTGTCTCTGAAAACAAGTGTGCAGACCCTCTTCATTTTAAGGCTTTAATGTCCATCATTACAAGAGAAAAGATAAGATTTAAGGGGAAAACATGGGGAAGGTACATAAAGGGTATAAATCTGACAGTCTTGGATCTTGATCAAAGCATCTGATGATCTGGTTGAAATAACTAGGAATTTCTTTTATACCAACACTGGATATGAGATGATAGAAAAGCACATATTGGTCTCAGTCCCATGTTCCTGGCACAGAGCTCAAACCCTTGTAATTTCTGAAGTGATAAGAGCACTTAGGAGCATCTTTTGTTCTGGTGAGGTGACTCTGGATGGGCTCCTGGATGGAGGCTGGTTACCAGAAGGACCAAGTCTTGATTAGAAGCTTAGAATTTTCAGCCCTACTCACCATCCTCCAGAAAGGGGAGAGGGGCTAGAAATGGACTTAATAATTGATCGTGCCTACATGATGGAACCTCCATAAAAATCCCAATAGGATGGGGTTGCTCTTACAAACAATGTTGTTATAAATTATCTTTACTTATGTGCAGGTCCATCTGCTATAGCCTTTCCTCAGCCTGTTCCCATGAAGAGAGATGGAATCAGCTACAGATCTTTCTCAACTTATGATGGGGTTGTGTCCCGATAAACACATCATGAACTGAAAATACTGTAAGTCAAAAAATGCATTTAATACACCTAATCTACCGAGGGCACCTGGGTGGCTCAGTTGGTTAAGCAACTGCCTTCGGCTCAGGTCATGATCCTGGAGTCCCAGGATTGAGTCCCACATCGGGCTCCCTGCTCAGCGGGGAGTCTGCTTCTCCCTCTGACCCTCCCCCTCTCATGTGCTCTCTCTCTGTCTTTCATTCTCGCTCTCTCAAATAAATAAATAAACAAACAAACAAACAAATAAATAAAATTTTAAGGGCGCCTGGGTGGCTCAGTTGGTTAAGCGACTGCCTTCGGCTCAGGTCATGATCCTGGAGTTCCAGGATCGAGTCCCGCATCGGGCTCCCTGCTCAGCGGGAAGTCTGCTTCTCCCTGTAACCCTCCCTCCTCTCATGTGCTCATTCTCTCTCTCAAATAAATAAACAAAATCTTTAAAAAAAAAATACACCTAATCTACCGACTGTTACAGCTCAGCCTGGCCTACCTTAAACATGGCTCAGAACACTTACATTGGCCTACAGTTGGGCAAAGTCATCAAACACAAAGCCTATTTTATGATAAAGTGTGGAATAGCTCATGTAATGTATTAAATACTGTACTGAAAGTGAGAACTAAATGGTTGTTAAGTGTATCAGTTGTTCATCCTCCTGACTGTGTGGCTGCTTGGCTGCCACTGACCTGCATCACGAGAGAGTGTCAGACTGCATATTGCTAGCCCGGAAGAAGATCAAAATCCAAAACCCAAAGTATGGTTTCTACTCAATGTGTATTGCTTTTGCACTACCATAAAGTTGAAAAAATCACAAGTTAAACCACTGGAAGCCAGGGACCATCTATAATTTATTTTTTTAAAAAGATTTTATTTATTTATTTTGACAGAGAGAGAGAGACAGTGAGAGCGGGAATACAAGCAGGAGGAGTTGGAGAGGAAGAAGCAGGCTCTCTGCTGAGCAGGGAGCCCGACGTGGGGCTCGATCCCAGGACCCTGGGATCATGACCTGAGCAGAAGGCAGATGCTTAATGACTGAGCCACCCAGGTGACCCAGGGACCATCTATAATTTAAATATATTTTTCTCGGGGCACTGGGTGGCTCAGTCGGTTAAGCATCCGACTTGATTTCAGCTCAGGTCATGATCTCAGGGTCGTGGGATCGAGCCCCGTGTTGGGCTCCATGCTCAGTGTAGAGTTTGCTTGAGATTCTCTCTCTCTCTCTCTCTCTCCCTCTCCCTCTGCCCCTCACCCTGCTCACATGCTCTCTAAATAAATAAATAAATAAAATCTTAAAAATAAACAAATGTATTTTTCTCACTGGTTGAACTTACTATTTTCTTTTCTTTTAAATATTTTATTTTTAAGTAATCTCTACACCCAACATGGGGCTTGAACCTACAACCCCGAGGTCAAGAGTCACGTGTTCTACCAACTGAGCCAGCCGGGTGCCCCCTTACTGTTCTTTTTCTAGAGATATTTACCCAATAATATCTCCCAGTGTTGTCAGCATGTCTTTAAATGGAAGGACATAGAAGAGAAATAGAAGGCCATGCTTTATACAACGGAATTCTCTAGGGTTCTGTTCTTGGCCCACGTCCTAGGCAATCAGTGCCTATGTCTTCAATTGCTGGATTTATACCTCTTGCCCCACCGTCCCTCCTAAGCTCTTGGCTCATAAACTCAGCTCTCTTCTGAATACATGTACTTGTAGTCCCACAGGTACCTCACATCTAGCACGTCCTGCTGCATTTCCAGTCTCAGTGGTGGGTGGCGTGAGCATTAACACAGTTGCCCAACCCAGATACCTAGGAGTTACCCTTTCCCTGGCTGGAAGCTGTTCCCCTCCAGCCTGTAAGCACCTGGAAGGCAGGGACTGTATCTTGCTATGGTTGTATCCCCAGTGCCCACTCTTGCACCTGTAAAATACTTGTTGGATAAATGAATAGATGTACCAATGATTCCTCCTCTTTCATTTCAGGGCAGTGGCTGAAAGCACTTTGCAAGTGGATACTGAAGTGGGGATAGAAAATTCCTATCTTCAGTCTGGATGGCCATTTGGCTAAGGCCCAAGAAGGGCTATCACCCAGGAACAACTTTTTTTTTTAAGATTTTATTTATTTATTTGACAGGGAAAGAGGGAGAGAGAAAGCACAAGCAGGTGGAGCGGCAGGCAGAGGGAGAGGGAGAGGCAGGCTCTCTGCTGAGCAGGAAGCCCGACGTGGGGTTCGATCCCAGGACCCTGGGATCATGACCTGAGCCAAAGGCAGATGTCACCCAGGCACCCCCA